ACACTGATCTAACTGATCTATCTATTCTAGTATAAGAATACGATGATCCTTCATCTAATTAATGCAGCAAAAGAGCTGATCCCTAAATTTTGGAAAGCCCAAAAGACCTCTAAATAAAAAGATTGGATAAAAAGAGTAAAACGTCTATACAGAAAGGAAGAACTTTACTATAGTGGAGAAGATAAAATGGATATTCTTAAAATTCTGGGAAAGATGGTGTGAGTTTAAAACTACACAGAGGTTCATGGAGCTGATGGAGTAGAAGAATAAAGAGAAATGAAAAGAGGGAGAGAGACAGTGATAAGAGGAAACCGTTAGAGGAGAAAACGAAAGTGGGAAGGTATTTTTTTTTTTTTAGTTTTGGAAAATGTGTAACAAAGTGTAGCTGATTATGTATTAAAGTGTTGCTGGGTTTTGTAAGGTGTAATTAATAAAAAAAAAAAAAAAAAAAAAAGACTATGCTAATGTTGTCTTTAAAGTAATTTATCATGTAATATTCACAGATGGATATGGTTTCCATAATTGTATATGGTACCATGTTTCCATAATTGTTTTATATACTATATCAGAAGAATTTAAACCAACTAGGTTATTGGTTTCTTTTTCACTGTAGCCATTCAGCCTGCAGAGAACAGCAAGAAGGACTAAAGTCTAGTCTGCTTATGAAATAAGTAAATATTGTTGCTCCCACCTACAGCTAGAATTGTAAAACTAGTTAGAAACAAGATTTTTTTTTTTGTTTAAATATTAAAGGCCCCATGAGTACATGACCTTAAAAACACACCTAAAACCACATGTTGGCCCTGGATTTTTTTTTCTGCCTTTAAACCACCTATGTGTGCATGGACACATAAGAGGTTATTTACTAAAACCGGAGAGTGCAAAATCTGGTGCAGCTGTGCATAGAAACCAATCAGCTCCCAGGGTTTATTGCCAAAGCTTAATTGAAGAAGCTGATTAGCTACCATGCACAGCTGCACCAGATTCTGAGTGCTCCAGTTTTAGTAATCTACCCATTAAGAGGGATTTAGAAGAAGAAGAAAAAAAAAAATGCAAAAAGCGGAGTTTAAGAGGTTCTGTATGCATGAGCCCTAAAGAAGTCTCATCAGGAATAACAGCTTGCTCGCTAGTCCAATGACTCATATTTAAATAAAAACAATTATCTACACTTCAAGAACCACCAAAATCTCTTCTTCATGTTTTGCATTTTATCCAACAAAGGCTGGCCATACATTTTACAATTTTCTTGAGAATTTTGCTTTAGATTTACCAAAAACTACATAATATGGGGTCAAACCTAAACAACACTTTCAATTGTATCCAATTAGGCAGGCCCTTTCACAGCATAGTTGAAGGTAAATCTAAAGGAAATTGGGCAGAAATTGGCAGAAAAGTTTAAGAAAATTGTACAGTGTATGGCCAGCCAAATTCCAGTAGCTACCGCCCTTTATGTTTTGCCCTTCTGCTGTCATTTATGGTCACCCAGTCCCTGCTGCCTATTTTCTCTTGGTTCCCCTCCTGCGTTCATTCTCTTCCGGCACCTCTACAATCATATTGGCTCCTGCAGTTATTATTTTGTCCCTCACCCAGTCTCCTTCTTACTTGCTGTCTTCTTTTTCTCACACCAAGACTGGAACAATGGCATGGCAAGGGCCAGGGTGCTCTAAATAATATACTAATATTCCAGTCACTATCCGCTTCCCCTTGCATGAGAAATGGCAGCGTTTTCACTCAGAACAACTTCTATAGAAGTCTCCCTGTTAGCAGTTTGGTGTGACAGTGGTGGAATAAGGGGGACAAACGGTGTAGCTCAGCTTTCACTGCACAGATTAACATGCTACATGCACTTTGTCTCTTGGCAGACTAGATGAACCTAGAAGTAAAGTGAGACTGCTTTAACAAAGAATATTAACTTGTAAACTGGAAGAATTAAAATGTGAAATTGAATTGATACACATTTCAATTAAGCAGATTTTCCTTGTTTAATTCTCTTTTTATTATTTATTCTAAGTTCCTCCACTGATGTGGAAGGTTAGACCTACTGTGAGGTTATTAATGTAATGTGGGAGACGGAGCTGATCTTTTGTTAGGTTATTAATGCTGTGTGCTGAATGGCCTGTTTCCCTTCAATGCTTTTACTATAGGTTTATTTGAAGAATCCACCAGAGATGGTAATATTTCCACAAAGAAACTATTGGAGAATGAACTTCAGAGAGGAAAAATAGAAGAGTTCCACTTTAAGTGACTTGCCTTTCGTTTGGGAAAGTATCTAGTACCCATCAGCCCCGTCACAACTTTTTTCTGATGGAAAACAGAGCAGAAAAAGGGGATCCACAGTTTCATAGTTTGTTTTTTGTTTTTTTTTTTTTTATTTACACTGTCTAGCTTACATATGACATACCATGAAAGAGTCAGCATCCTCTGCCTGTTACAGACTTAAAGTGGAATTTTTTTATTGCAAGAGATAAACTAGATCTCTGCTGAAGCAAACCATCTCACCCACCTGCTTGCACCAAGCTGTGCATGCAATTTCAGCATGCCTTGGTGCCAGGAAAAATATAACTCTGTATCTGTAGGAGTTACCCCAAAGCCAGCCAAATCACACCAAACCCAAAATGAGATAGAGTGAACATAGAACAGCATAAGTTAGCATCACCAGAGGACATGTAAGTAAAATGAGCTTAAAGGATTCACCTTTTATCAACATGTTACACCCATATTTAGGTTGTAACATGTAACACATTGAGCATCCACCATCTCACTCCCTGCCCCCACTGTCACAATTTGAAAACAGTGCGGCCATGTGGAGCTCTGCCCACATAGCTGTGTCATTCATTCAGAGTTCTGTGAATGAATGCCTACAAGTACCATCAGCCATTGCAGCTGACAGCTTGTAGTTCTCAATGAGCTGCAAGAGGGCTGGTGAACGCTCTCGTAGTCCATTGAGCTTCCTGGACTTTACTGACAGTCTGCAGGAGCCTGACATTGCACCCGCCGATTGCAGGCGCAAGGAAAAAAAAAATAATGCACTTTTATTTTGCCGTTAAAAAAAAAAAAATAAAAAAGGTATTTAATATTTTTAAAGTGAACTTATCCTTTAAGTTGTGCTTAAGGCAACCCAAGACGCTACAATATTTAGTCAAATGTCTCTAAAATTGGACCGCAGTTTTAGTATATAAGCAATTTTTGTGCAAAGCGTACCTAACAGATTTTTTTTCCTTTCATTAAAGGGAGGCATATTGTTCGTAGTTTAAAATTAAAGTGTTATGTCCAAAAATTACCACTTTTATAAAATACCCGTGTGTCCTGCACAGAACAATGGAATCTGTATTGCTAGCCTATTCCGCTTCCTGGGACTTTACTAACATTGTTGTACCTTAGTCATATCACAGGATGCAAGTGAATAGCCAGGCTGCATTCTCATGGCAGTGTAAATCTAACCACAAAAAGTCTGCCTCCATTTTGTGTAGACTGTAGGGCCACTTTATATGGGGCCTGAACTCTGTAGCCAGTTTCCATAGAAATCAGCAGTTATGCTACAGATTTGTTTCTTCTTTACAAAATAGCCATAAAAAAACAATTTATATATCTCTGGACATGCATTGATGATTACATGGTTATCATTTCATTTTCTGTTAGCGGTGTATTGGTAGAAGCTTGCAACACAAAAATCTCAGACACACTTTCCATCAGTAAAATGCTAAAAATTAACAAACTTGCTAGTTGAAGGAAAAAGAAAAAAAGAAAAACTAAAAAAAACACGAGTCCAAACAGTTTTACTTTTGTATTGGGATAAAAGTTAAAAAAAAAAAAAAAAAAAAAATGAAAAAGCTATTAAACATGAAATAAATACTGTTTTCGGCAGGAGTATACATTAGTGTTACAATGTAAACAGATTGTTAACTGCAGGACTCAAGAAATGTAACATTTGTTTTGGGAAATCTGAAGTCTTCTATCCGAGTGAACAGCTTATATCAGCTTCTCTCAAACTGTATTAATTATTCTTACTTATCACAGTCTATGATCTGTTTATCGGCTTTGGAAACTTAGGAACAAAGCCAGACTAAACGGCCTTCACTTGAGGTTCAGCCCTCGGTATTATGTATAAAGTAGGGCTCCATTCAGTACAATGTACAGTTTACAATTGAACAGTACTGCTAAAATAAATTACATTTAATAAAAAAAAAAAAAAAACAAATACAACTTAACACGGTTCACCTTGCTTTTGCTCACATTATAAAAACACTACTAGAGGCAGTATACAGTTTTGGAAAAAAAAAATGAAATAAGTTTTACAAGCATACAAATAAATCTGAGTGAAGGATTTTAACTTTAGCGACAAATTTTCAGTCTTCTGAAAGGTCGGAAGTAATGCAAATAAATAAAACATGAGCATGACAGAGCCACTGTATTGTTACAGGTTACAGTTACACTACCCTATACAACCCAACAGTCAAACCAGGTCAAGCTTTGTATACATTAATTAGGAAGAGTTCTTTTTTTCGACTCCTAAAAATTGCTCACAACATTCCAGATAGTTTTCACATAACTTAGCGTTAACATTTACCATTACATTAAAAAAAAACCTTATATATGACAAGTGTAGCTTCTGGAGTGCTTAGTTCACAAACAAAAACACTGAAAGCAACCGTTAAAAAAAAAAAGTTGCAGAGAAGTCCGATATTTAATTATAAATTACATTAAAATGCTTGACCCATCTTGTGAGTTCTTTTCCCGTTGTGCAGTCAACGTCCACACTTTTAAATTATGAAATACATTTGGTGAATTGTCCAAAGAGAAACTGTCTGTCTTATATAATGCCGCTTGGCCTTTTTTTTTTGTATGCCATTTAACATATGAGGGCCGTTGTAAAACCAAAAATGTTCCTTTCCGAAACTCAACTAAAAATGCTCATTTGGCAATAAAAAAGACAAAAACAAAAAACTGTCTCGCTCTCCGGTCAGTTAAAATCTGTAATGGATTCTAAACAGTGTGTCTCTTTAATAGCGTCTGCCACCTGGCGGGACGGGCCATCGCTGGCCCCGGCCAGGTGGCGGAGGATGTGCTGCAGCACCGCGTCCATTGGGAAAGCTGTGTGGGAGGATAAAATCACAAGTGTTTGCTATATAGGAAACTGGATTAAAATAGTAATAGAGATAGAAATAAAACAAACTCAAAAACGTGTACTATATATGTAAATATAAGATCTATATTTTATCAAAAACGGCATGCAAGATTTATATGGCATCTATATGGTTATCTAAACCTGTGCTTATATACCAACTAAGGGTAAATATATCATCATATAAAAAAAGGTAATAGTATAGGAAATATAATTTAAGTAAGAAGGGAGGGGGGAGGTAGCAGTCTTACCCTCTTGGTGGGCCGAAGTTTCCTCTTGGAGGTGGTGGCAACATACCCCGTCCACGTGGAGGTGGTGGCATCCCTCTAAATCCCATTAGTCCTGGAGGTGGTGGCGGTGGAGGAGGGCCACGCCTATACCAGCACAAAAGCAAAAAAAAAAAAAAAAAGTTGGTAAAAAAGCAAGAAAATATTTAAGAAAACATTAGCAACCATGAAAAAGAAGTGGACTCTGAGAACCTTAACGGGTGGAAATGCGGAGGGGGAAGTGGAGGAGGTGGTGATGGTGGAAAAGGATCTTCCATGTCTCTTGGAGGAAGTGGTGGTGGCGGCATAAATCCTGGAGGTCGTCCTCTGATTCCGCCACGTCCTCTGGGGTCCATATACGGATGCATCCGCCCCATGCCTCGTCTGCAAATAAATATAAATACTTCAACATGCAATTTTAAGTAATGGTACTAATTTTTATAAAATCTCCACTGCTGTTAAATGTTTATTATAGCATATATATTTGCTAAACAAGCTGCTGCCCGGTTCAATTTTATGTTGCTGGAATGCCTTGATTGGCTTTTATGCCAACAAGGCAACGGAGCCTTGTTTGTTACTCAAATGCTCATTTGAAAGTCTGTAGAGCTTACAGTGGTTCTAAAGACATGAAGTCTTGACACGTCTTAGCCTAAAGCATTCTGTGACAGGTGCATGAATTGGGCACAAGCACCAACACCTTCAGTGCTGCTGCGCCCCAACAGAATTCTAAAGGATGTCTAGAACACCTTTATGATTGCCCCTAAGTAACTTTAGCTAAGATTACCTCATTGGTATAATTCCATTCATTGGTTTATCCTGCATCTTCCCTCGGCCAAAAGGCATCTGTCCTTTCATCACACGATTCCCTCTTCCAAAGTTGCCTCTGCCACGATATCCTCGGCCCCTTATAATAGGATTTCAAAGAATAATGAGCTATTTATGCATAACAATGGTGTCACTTCTACATATTTGTCTATTTCAATAATCAACTTCTGAGCAGCTAAAAAACAATCTATATAAAAAATTCTAGTCACTTTGATTACAGAAAAATGTATATTTTCAAGCTGGTCCATGATATTAACAAGGGTAAATAAAATGTGTATAGCCTAGCACAGAATAAGGCAGGCAAACCTTTACATCTAGTTCAAAAATATTTGTAAATTAAAATTGATGAACTTTAATTTAGACTGCACTAATAAATATAAAAGCCAGGTTTGGAAATACCAAGAGCCAGGTAGTCAATATATCAAACAATTAGAGCTGGTGTTTTTCAAAGGTGCTCTGTTGTCAGTGGAAGCATACTGACAGCTTATAACCATCCACTTTCCCTTACGTCACACAGACACCTCAAAGCTACATAAAAATAATTCCACTCCATTCCAGATACAAGTATCTGACAGCCATCCAGTTCTGATAATAACTTGATTATCCGTGGCAGACTGTACAGTAGTGTTTTCTCAAACAAAGACATCCAGTGCAGTAATCTAGTTGAAAGCTGCACCAAACCAGTCTCTCTCCAGTGAGAAGTAGAATAGGATATGCTCTTTAGGGGTCAACTCAATGCCAAATTCCTTTTGGTATAGAATGCATTAAAAAATTTTTTTAAAAAAAACCACGCAGACATAATTATGCAATGTTTAGATCAACAACTAGTAGGAGCAGGGGTGGACTAACCATTTGGAAACTCGGCACTGCCCGAGGGCCCGGGGTCAGTAGGGGGCCCCATGAGATGCCCCTGATACCTTTTTCATAGGCTTTTTTGAGTTTGGGCAAGGACACAGGGGCCCCATGATCCTCTATTGCCCGGGAGCCCCATGAGTTGTCAGTCTGCCCCTGAGTAGGAGTTTTACACACATATACTGTATAAAATAAATGTGTGGATTGCAGATCACATTCACCTAGTTCCCAGATGGGGTGACCAGTAAAAATATCGTAGAGTCCTTTAGAAACAGAGTTGCAGTATGGGTATAAGGCTGGCCAAAGACATGAAAGGATGATGTTTTCTGCTGTTTCAGGTCTGAAGAGAGCACTACATGCACCACAGTCACATGCACATTCATAAGGCAGACAGTACCAGTGCTCTCCAAACTACGACTCAGGGACCGGATGCAGCCCTTTGCTTGCCCTGATCCGGCCCTTGCGGCAATTTTTCTCCCACTGATACAAGACACTATTCCTGGCACTGACATGAACAAGGCGGCATAATTCTTGCTAGTGACATCAACAACAATCCCTATTCCTCCCTCTGACACCAACAATGGGGCACTATTCTTCCCACTGACACCGATGGGCACTATTTCCCCCAACTTACACCAAGAATAGGGCACTATTCCTCCCGTCAAAGATGCATTGTTTACTCCCAATGACGCAGGACAATTTCTACTCCCAATGGCCACAGTCCGGCTCCCCCTAAAGTCTGAAAGCCAGTTAACTGGCCCTTTGTTTAGAAAGTTTTGGAGACCCCTGGCCTACGTGATTGGAAGCGGAAGTTCTCCTCCCCTTTCCCACCCCACTGCAGTTTTTGTAGCTGCTGACCTATTTGTTTCACCAGAGACTGGACAACCACTTTCATTTCATTCTTCCTCAAAACACAATTGTACGTTTTCGCACTGAATTGAGTCTCGGTCATTGGATTCAAAAAGCCTGATAAAAAAAAACAAAAAACTAGAAGGCAGCAACAACTCTCAGCAATGCTATGGTTTGGCTTTGACTTAACTGCATACACCCCTCACCCAAGTATAATAGCTATAAGTACTTAAACTCTCCCCTATGTGACAGCAGCATTGTATACTAATCCTCCATAACCATGTATATAGTTCTTTTCACCATTTTCCCCCATTTTAACCCCCTCCCTCCATGTACGTATACATACACACACATCACCATATAAATATATATATATATGATATATATATATCATACACAACACACATATACACAATCAGTGATCGTCTATACGTGCAGAACATATACATACATCACACACACACACACACGCTGACCCACCCAATAAGGTTTGTACCCATCACCCCATTGTCTGTGGCAATCACTAAACCCAACTCCAGGTACTTTAGATTAAGAGGATGATTGTTTGACACTTTGTGCAAGGCCTGGCTCCATGGCATGTGGTAGAGGTGTCAGTAGACAACAATCATTCTCACTTCCTGGAAATGCAGAGTAATGTGTTAGCCAGACTGATAAGGAGGTCTGAGTGGAAGAGCTTCAATACAGAGGACATCCTGGTCACCAGAGGTTTATTTCAGTCCCAGTTTGTGGTAGTCAGGATTTTTCTCTCCTGGTCTTTGGACACCTGAACCTTGCTGAACTACTAGTTTTCTATTGTAATCCACATGAAGATCAAACCTTTTCATCAGACTCAAGAAATAAAACCTATACCCAAATCTGTAATTGAACATGCTAGTAAAATCTGGTCAGTTCAGAGATTTTGGTGCAATAGTTTGCAACTGTGGTAGGTGCAGAAGAAAAAGTGGTCAAACAATTCCTACCAATGCACCTCCAAAACCCCAGAGACCTACCCATGGCCACTCCATGAGACAACAAATCTTTAAATTAGACCTAAACACAGAATTGTCTGCCAAGCAATGAGACTGTGTTTGCTACTTATTTCAAGCCTGCCTACCCCCGTCAGAGGAGTAGCTCTTCCCTGTGAATATTTACCATTGACTTGGACATACTAAGAATTACAATAGCGATGAAGCTGTTGAAAGGAGGAACCACAGGGACCATCAGAGGACACCAAATCCAACAAGAATGCAAAGAGCTGAACCACTGCCTGTTAAATACAAAGCTCTTTATTTTGCAGGCTGCCTCTGTTTTTTAAGGGGCAGGGCCACATTAAGCAACGATTTAAATACCTGAATTTCCAGGGCTCTATAGCAGCTTCAGCATTGTCCACTGGCATCTTTTGATCAACTCCTGAGAATAAAAAAAATAAATAGATTAAAACCTTTGCCAAGACAATTGATTTTTCACCTGTGAGAAGTTGCCTAAAGTGTAAAAGACAAGGATTATGCTTCCCATTACTAACCCCTGGAACTAAAGGCCTGAACAACCTTATCTAAATTTGCATTTCGATACTACTCAAGATTCACCCTTAACCATGCCCTCACATACAGCAGATCAGAAGCGTGGATGAGCAATAGGAAGATCACAACTGGAAGGGAATGAGGAGCAATGATTGTGGACTAGAAGATTAGATAAAGCAGAAGGTGATGATGGCCAGAGAAAAGGGAGGCAGTGTGAGGCCTACACATTTGAGGACAGGGCAAAGTGGAAACTTTGTATATTGCAGGGAGACAAAACAGGGACTAATGATGACCAGGAGTTGATCAAGGCATGACAGGAGTCGATTAAGATCGAAAGTAGGTTCACAATGACGGGTAATTGCAGTGGGGTGGTAGAAAAGCAGAGAGGGAACAGATAAGCCTGTTGTTGTGTTTATGGTTTCAGTGGAGGGGGGTTAGTTAGAAATTTCTGATTTTATTCCTTTTTGTGACACAAAAAGTGGACAAGGAGGCTATAGCTGTAAGCAGGTGTCCAGATATGTATGCTGTGATAATATATGGAATACCATGTATAATACCAACTGCAGAAGCTGTGATACACCGATGGCAATGAGCTGAGTACAAACAGGTCTCTTGATAAATAGCAGACAACTCTCTACCATGGATACTTGGGCTAGTGTTTAATGACAACATACCGGTGTTCATAGTGCGGCCACAGAATGCAGACACAGTGGAGGATTCAGCAATAGACGCTACTGCAGACTGGAGCTTGGACACTGGAATGTGATGACATGGGTATGGAGAACATGTAGCAATAAGGACATTGTTGAGGGAACAATGCATGCACGGATTATCTGTCAAAAACTGCACTGAATATTCCAGTGCTGATTTACACATGCGCGGTGCGGATTGAAGGTCAGGTTTCCACCCTGGTTCACACTGAAGCAGTGCGGAATTTGCAGCATTTTCTGTGCAAAATCTGCACCGCATCAGAATTGCACCGTTCATGCGAACCGCTGCGGGTGTGTATGTTAGGTCAACAGCATCCCGAAATCGGTCCGCAAAACGCGGTGCGATGTGCAGAATTGGATCGGATAGGTGTGAATACCCATGCGATCTGATTCCCGTGCAGAACAGTGCCACACACAAATCGCATGTGACTTGCACAGGAATGCGGTGCAGTTCCTGTGTGAATCACATGCAATATACCTCACCTCATACATGTGAACCCAGCCTCACAGCTAATTGATACAGTAGTTCAGCGTTTCAGGCCAGGTTTACAACAGGTTCAGGTCAGGATTTTATCCTGTTCACAACTGATGACGTGCGGTTTAGAAACGGTTCCCATAGAAGTCAATAGCCTGTAATCCGCACCTGAACTGGAGCACACTGCTCAGGATTCCTACATGACTCTCCTTCAAACCGCACTGAATCCGCATCGCCAGTGCACCGCACACATGTGAATAGGCACCATAGGAAGCAATGTTCTTTCACATGTCATGAGTACTGGATGCAGTTCAATCTGCATATATGTGAACCGGCACAAAGGGGTCAAATCTAAGAGGCAGCTTGTGTGCTTCCCAGTTGCACACACGCCAGCTAGTCTCCCTCAGATGTGAAACCAGAGCTTGCAATTTGTCTGTGCTACATAGAATAATTGAAGCTCACATGTGTCATGGTCCGGGTGTAGACTAACATGTGCTGTGAGAGTAGCTGGTCTGGGCTCATCACCCACATCCAGACAACAGGATGCAAGCCTCATATGGGAGACGCATCTCCCAGTCAGAACTAGTATGAAAATCATGTTTTCATACCAAATGGGATTTAACATAAACTGTCCCTATTATTCCATAAAGCAACTATGAACAACTCTAAACAAATGGTCCTAATCTGTTACTATGTACGTTTATGAACATCGGAAACTGAGGTTTGCCATCATGATATGCAAATGTAGTGATGAGGTTTACTGAGGATTTCTGCGATGTGGTCCATCAATTGTACCAATATGTTTCACTTTTGGACATCCTTACACGATGATACACCTAGCTATCAGGGAATTGTTGAGTTTACTACTGACGTGATAGATCAGCAGTGACTGGAGGCATACGACTACATTAGTAGAGGAATGTCATCGCTGACAACTGTCTGGGCACTTTATGCTGTTGATCTGTTAGATCCTGTCATATGATGTCCTCAAGCTTATAAAAATCATCAACATACATGACAGTGCAGACACCGTGAAATCAGCCATGACAAAGCCCTGGGTCACCCCACCGTGAAATCAGCCATGCAAAAGCCAGCTTTAAAAGCGGAGCTCCAGTCACACTGTAAAAAAAAATAAAAGCAGCTACAAAAACTGTAGCTGCTTTGTGAATGGGACCGGTCACTTGTTAAAAAACAGGCATTTTCACTCCCCAAAGGTGCTAAATCATAATGAGGAGCGGGGGACCAGTCTTTAAAGAGGAACTTCCCCGGTGGAGCTCTGCTTTCATTTTTTTTTTACCAAACATCCAAATAAGATGAGAAAGCATAAAACTGCTGGAGTGGAGCTGCTCTTAGCAATAATATTCCAGCTACTGTAGCAAAGTTAGAAAATAAAATCTAGCTGCTTACAAGCAGCAATCACGGTTATTCAAGTTTTGCACACACACACACATATATACACACACACACACATATATACACACACACACACACACACACACACACACACACATATACACACACACAAGTTTTTAAATAGAGCCCCCATATCTCCCAAACTACACAGACATTGGCAGCTTCCATATTTCTTGTGACAGCCTTCTTTAAACAAAGATCTCCTTCATCAATCCCAGGTGGAGAAACTACCTACACAAGGAGGTGGATATATCCTATTCTGAATGTTTTTGGTCTGCTTTATTTGGGCAGCACAGTGGCTAAATGGTTAGCACTTCTGCCTGGCAGTACTAGGGTCGTTGGTTCAAATCCCAAACATGGCACCACCTGCCTGGAGTTTGCAAGTTCTCCCTGTGCCTGCATGAGTTTCCTCCGGTTTCCTCCCACACCCCAAAGACATGCTGGTAGGTTAATTGGCTCCTGTCTAAACTGGCCCTAGTATGTGTATGTATGAATGTGAGTTACGGACCTTAGATTGTACACCCCTTGAGGGTTAGGGACGGATGTGAATATGTAATATATATATATATATATATATATATATGTAAAAGTGCTGCATAAATTGACAGCACTATATAACTACCTGTAATAAATAAAAAAATAAACTTTATCTGTAGACTACCCGACCTGTGATTACACCTGCAGTTGGAACAATTAGTTTATTTCATTTCAGGTACTTATATAGCACCATCAGTTTACGCAGTGCTTTACATATATATTGTACATTCACATCAGTCCCTAACCTTCAAGGGGTGTACAATCTAAGGTCCCTAACTTACATTCATTCATACACATACCAATTAACCTACCAGCATGTCTTTGGAGTGTGGGAGGAAACCGGAGTACCCGGAGGAAACCCACGCAGGCACAGGGAGAACATGCAAACACCAGGCAGGTGGTGCCGTGGTTGGGAATTGAACCGGCAACCCTAGCACTGCCAGGTAGAAGTGCTAACCACTTAGCCACTGTGCCGCCCCATAGTTGCGTGTAATGGATTTTTCTGGACATTCTCTTATTACCCAAGAGTAGGCCATCACCATGGGTGTCTGAACATAAGCATGCATGTTCAGGACACTGGGCCACATAGTGTCTTTGGTTATAATGGTGTAGGCAGGTGGGCTGTACACACATGGAAATCTATGTTGCTTTGTGCCTCGGCCATCTGCAACCAAGGACAGCGTGACCCAGTCCCTTGCATCCTAGCAGCCAAAGCTGCTGGGCGATCTGGCCACCTCCAACCTACAAACCAGACGCTGTGCATCCCAGCCACTTACATTCCTTCTTTTAATTCAGATTTTTATTTAAATTTTTTTTCCATAACACATTATATTATAGGAAAAAACAAAAAAAAAAAAAATCAATTTAACTATTAAAAACAATAGCATCAGCAGTTAATCGGTTCATTGACAACAAGTATTCCAAAAGTTCCAAGAATTCCAAAGTAAAAAAAAAAAAACACACACACCTAAAAGACCTAATAAATAATATTGTTCTATTATTACTCCAGGGCAAGCGATACATTGTATCATCAACAGTATATATGAATTTGTCAAGACATGCCAATCCACTCCACGGACACTTTTTACTGTAAACTGAACAAATATGGAGGAAATGGATAGATGCTCCATGTTCTAGTTTAAAACTTCCAAAAGGCATTTCAATGAGCATAAGCACATTTCTTCAACACCTACGTATTTTGTCCATTTCCTGAATCAGTTCCCAAGCATTGAAGACTGCCACCTGCATCCTAGCAACCAAAGACACTGTGTGACCCAGTCACCTTCAGCTTAGCAACCACAAACGCTGTGCAGCCAATGATGCTGGATCGCCAGGTGTCGGATGCAGCTGAGCCCATTCATGCTGCGAAAAACAGAAGGGGTGGAACAAGAGGACTGATGCATCTCCTTCCCCCTGACCACCTAGTGACAGTACTTATCTCATGGAAGCACCTGGTGTCCGACCAGCGCTGTCAATCACTGCTAATTAAATATTACTCTCCTTGAAAAATGCAATTGGACATCAGGATTGCGGGGGGGAGAGAGCATGAAGGGCAAGGGAATAGGGAGCATGATGCCGACCACGAATCATGAACACTATGACCTAGAAAATCAGAACCTAAAGAAGAACCCCCCAATGGTGGAAATGTGGGACTTTTAAGGCAACAGTAACCATTGACAGAGATAAACATTACAACATGCCTTATTACAAATTGTTCAAATCACATACATCAACACAAAAA